AGTATGTTGGACCATCATTTGTATCATTCACAACCTAAATCCATCATGTCATAGACTCTACTAGTTTCAACCATTATTTAAGCAATGATGTCTTCAACTACTTTTAGTTTGAAGATAAAGAATTACATGCTCTGACAGTGAGTTCCAGTACTTCTTAAAGTTTCTCAGTAGAATTGAGATTTGGGGATTACGGCGGAATTCCTTCTCATACTCTTTAAGCCTGTCACAAACAATGCTTGCATGGTTGATGGCGGCAGTATCATCTTTAAAATGTCTATGAAGCATAAAACAGTGTGTGGGGGGGGGGGGGTCTTCAAGGGGGATCAGGTATTTGTGGGATATGATGTGATTATGTACTCAATATTATTATTAAGCTTCAGCAGGTAGCCCCCAGTAAAAGTAACAGATGAGGATTCCGAAGGTTCATGGGACTGTTGGTGTATTTTGACTTACCTATCTGTACAAAATAGTATTTATCAAGATTCAGCTAACCATATTAAACATGTACATTGGTCAACAATTAAATTCCAATGGTCTCTACACCACTGTAGGTGCACTTTTCTGTTATATGTTGAGACTAGTAGCATTGCTTTTGTTGAATTGGATAGTCTTGGTCCATGGTTGATGTAATCTGTCAATTGCTGTACTGTGTACACTTATTTTTCTTCACAACCCTGGCTTACTCTCACTTTTTCTTTCTTGTAACAGTTTTTTCCATTTACAGTTTATTTTTACTTGAAGATTTTTTGCTGAACTCTCTGTCAAGCTTCATAGATTTTCTGTATGATTTTTATGGTCACCTTTAATTTTCCCAGTCAGTTAAATTGTTTTGATATTGAGGCTTCAGCTGTATGAGCACCAAAATAACACTTCTTTCAAAGTATGATATGTCCGCAATCTTCCCTATTTTTATGAAAACTGAGGGGAAAAAAAAAATGCCAATGTTACTTATACTGGTGTAGTTGTCAAATGGAAGCACATTTCATTACCTGTTTGCTCATCAATTAATGAGAGAGTCCAATAAATAAATAAATAATGAAGTTTGTAATATTTTAGCCAAGTAGCATATTTTATTGGAAGGAAATTTTTGATAAATATTTATTTAAAACCAATAGAAGCAAATAATGTAGCCAACAATTGGATTAAAAAAATGGTTTCATATATAGTGAAGTTTTTAATAGTTTTTGTTTTTACACTTGTACATTAAAGTAACATGAGTGTCATTTAGACATACTATATTATATATTAGATCATGCAGTATTATTGAAGAAATTATTGTTTTGCTCAATAAATAAAAATAAAATAAAACTCCAGCAGATAATGATTCTATGCAGTAACCATGGTTAATGGTAAAAGACTTTTGGACTTCTCTCACATCAAAATGTTTATGTTAGAAGAGCTTTTGTCTTCTTTGCTCAAACAAAGAATTGAAAACTTACCAAAGATCAATGTTTTAATGTGAGAAAAGTCCAAACTTTTATACCACACTATGAGTCTGAAAGCATTTTTATCCTAAATTCTTAAATACGTCATTAGGTCATTAATATGATTTAATTATATTATCTGTATATTATAGATATTCTTAGACAACAAATCTATTAAGTTAATAAAATATAGTTTGTG